CGATGAGCATGCAGTGGATGAAAGGTCAGAAAGTTTTCCTACTTTATCGCAGCAAACCCAGCATTGGTATTAGTATTGTAATTGCATCGTGTAGTCCGGACAGATAGTTCTTAAATTTGGGCCTTTGCTTAAGTTGCCCTTTGCGGTCAGGAACCATGGTCATTTGATAGGGTTCGTTTAAAAAGGTTATTGGTGCTTCGATTCAAGTGATACCTTAAAGGATGGTGTAAAGCACTAAAGAAATGTAAGAAAAACGCATTCTGTTACAGTTTTTTTATGAAGTAAATTTTTTAGCAGCAGTCTCGATTCGGATGATTTTCCTGACGATGTAGATCAGGACATCCTACCTCATGCGTTCAACGACGTGAACAAAGAAGTGGCCGGCGAAGTAAAAGTGGAAACGACACTCGTTGAGAAAGACTGTCCTAAAGAAGCAAATAATAACAAATCCATGGAAAGGCGTACTGTTCGTTTCAAAAGTGAGGATGAGGCCTATTCAGCAGTAGCTTCGCCAGACACGCCTTCCATTTCGCAAGGATCATCATCTGGCATCGAGCCAAAAGTGGTTTGCACTTTTAGATATGGATTTCTTTTTTTTTTTTTTTTTAAATGTTTTTTTGATAATATAGCAGTAACTCGGAAGTTTTTCAATTTTTTGTAAATTATAGATTGTAAATGCGGAACCGCGTTTCTCTTCTTCATTGCCACGATCGATTTTGCGTAACGTCGGTGAAAAATCGCCAATTGATGTGGACGCTTTAGCAGCTGCTGAACTGGAAAATCGACCAGAAATATTGCCGGCCTCCGAGCAGGTAATTGTAACTTCTGGGTAATATGTATTTTTGATTGATTTTGAGAACTCGAATTGCGAGGTTTGGTTAAATCCTGGCTAATCGGCATTCCATGCATTTATTTCTATATTGTAGGCTTTTCCGGGTAAAGTGATGGAAAGGCATTCCTCTCCAGACTGCGTTGGCAGTGACGATTCGGTGCCAGTTATTTTACCGTCAAAAGATGGTTCTCCTCGTCGGGTTTCTCGATTCAAGATGTCGCGTGCACACCTGGATCATTAGCTTCATATTTTTGAGACCACATTGTTGCATTAAAAGATCTCATAGCAAATGTTGTGGTATATATTATAGATAATGCATAAAATCTTGAGTTCTTGTGACCAGCTAACACGCAATCTGGACAAACAGGAAATGAAAAGAGGGCATAGGAATTAATGTATCATAGTTAGAAATGTTGTAAACTGGCAACAACTCAAAATGCAACACTGCTGGGATCATTTGCAGAGAGTTCTCGTCTTTAGCAGCTCTGGACAGATAAATTTTGGAAGCACCTACGTTTTGCTGTTACACAAGCAAGTGTTTCCCGTGTCTCGGAATAAATATTTGAAATGAGACGTTTTTATTCAAAACAAAAGGACAAAGTATGCTGGAACTCGGAACTTTCTTTACAATAATGTCCGGTAATCTTAGTGGCACATGACAATGCTATCCACAGGTCAGGAATTTCAGCTAGCAAAAGAACTGGGCAGCCACTAAACGACAGTTTAGCTTGTGGAGCCCCTTGATGTGTCGCGAAGAGACCGTTTTTTGCTTCTGTAGTACTTTAAGCATGATGAGACATGAGTATTTCTAAAGTTTTGTTAGAGATGTCTGTACAAGTAAAATTTGAGGAATTCGGGGTGAGATTCATGGACCAAGTTGGTTTTGAAATGTGAATAGCAATCGTTGGAAGATCGGGACTATATTCTTGTTTATGATGTCCCAGTGGAAATAAGACTGTGTCGCAATGAACAAAATTAACACAGTGCCAGCTTTGTGTCATGCGTGATAAGA